CTTACTTAAAAACCAACTCTTTTAAGGAAAATTATTAATGTGTTCAGGAGCGTTAAATAATTATACCTCTTACCAATTATAATTTATCATATTCTTTTATATTTTTTAATTATTCAATATAAATTTATAAATCTTATCCGTTCATCAATCATGACACCATTCAGACAACACGTGACAAAACTCCAAAGGAAAATGCTTCAGGGCCCGAAATGTGTCTGGCTCGAATGTGGCTCGAAATTTTCTTTTTTTTTTTTTTTTTTTTCTGCCATTTTCGACCTGCAGAGAGGGAGAAAGAGAGAGAGGGAGAAAGAGAGAGGAGAGGAGAGAGGGAAAGAGAGGAGAGAAGAGAGAGAAGAGGGAATGAGGCACACACACAGAGAGGCCCGTGCATTCCGGCCGATCGGCCGATCGTCGCAGCTCGGGCGATCGTCGCAGGCCCGGCGGATCGTCGCAGCCCGGCGGATCGTCGCAGCTCGTCCGGCTGCCTCCGCCCGGCCGCCGTCGCCTCCCCTCTGCCTTTCTCTCTTCTTCTTTCTTCTTCTCTCTTCTTTCTTTCTTCTTCTTCTGTCTTCGTCTTCCTCTGCTTCTGATTTCTGATCCAAAACAGACAAAAAAAAAAAAAAAAAAAAATTACAACGCCAAAACGACGTCGTTTCGTAGATTCGGGCATTCGGGCAACCTTTTTCGGGCTCCCAATCACTACTCAACTCCAAAACCCACCAACAACTTTTCCTCTACAGGAAACTTTAATTATTAATCAAGGACTATTGGACACCGCATAAATTCATGATTAATTTAACCTCTCTATCTCATTAACATAATGAATCATTAAGTTTTAATATAAGTATTATATAAAAATATTAAATAATTCATTTGAGATTTATAATATTTTTAAACAAAATGTTACTTAAACTTTTCTAAATTTTACAATAAAGTCAAAAAAAAAAAATCCAAAAAACTATTAAGGGATTGTTTGGTTAAAAGATGACTTATTTATTTATTTATTTATTTTAAAAAATAAGTAAAAAAAAGTAAAGAGATGATGTGACTCAAAATAAGCTAAAGTCTTTTAGAAAACTTTTTCAAAAACCGAAAAGCTAAAGAGTCATTAAAAATATTAAAAAGTTAAAAATCTTTTTCATTCATTCTATTTTTAGCTTATATTTTGGTAAAAAATTAAAAAATTATCTAAAAAACACTTTGTTTGGTTTCATTTTTCCCAAAGCACTTTTTTAGAAAATTCTACTTTACTTTTTTTCATGTTTTTTTGTTTTTTACTGAATTTTTTAAAAATATTTTAAGCAATTTTGTTTACTTTTTAGACATACCTAACATAAATATACCTAAAAATTTAAAAAATTGTGAAAAAAACCTTTTAAAAATTCGCTAAATACCAAAAAAAAAAAAAAAATACTAGAATTCAGTACATTTTTTTTATATTTTTATGTATTTATTAATTTTTTAAAATATTTTTTCACAATTTTTTTACTTTTTAGATACATCTAAGTAAGGTGCATTTAAAATAAAATATATTTAAAATTTTAAAAATATTCACTAAAAACAAAAAAATACGAAAATCATATAACTCAATTTTCAAAAAACTTAATCCAAAAAACTCAAACCAAACAACACTATTTTTTATCTCATTTTTTTTAAGTTAAAACAAAAAAAATCACTAAAACTTTTTTTTTTTTTTTATTGGTAAATGTTAGTTGTTAGATTAGCATCTATGAGAGAAAATTTTCCCACCCTTAACAAAGCACTTAATACTTTCTTGCTTAAAAACCAACTCTTTTAAGGAAAATTATTAATTGGTTCAGGAGTATTAAATAATTATACCTCTTACCAATTATAATTTATCATATTCTTTTATATTTTTTAATTATTCAATATAAATTTATAAATCTTATCCGTTCATCAATCATGACACCATTCAGACAACACGTGACAAAACTCCAAAACCCACCAACAACTTTTCCTCTACAGGAAACTTTAATTATTAATCAAGGACTATTGGACACGCATAAATTCATGATTAATTTAACCTCTCTATCTCATTAACATAATGAATCATTAAGTTTTAATATAAGTATTATATAAAATATTAAATAATTCATTTGAGATTTATAATATTTTTAAAACAAAATGTTACTTAAACTTTTCTAAATTTTACAATAAAGTCAAAAAAAAAAAATCCAAAAAACTATTAAGGGATTGTTTGGTTAAAAGATGACTTATTTATTTATTTATTTATTTTAAAAAATAAGTAAAAAAAAAGTAGAGAGATGATGTGACTCAAAATAAGCTAAAGTCTTTTAGAAAATCTTTTCAAAAACCGAAAAGCTAAAGAGTCATTAAAAATATTAAAAAGTTAAAAAATCTTTTTCATTCATTCTATTTTTAGCTTATATTTTGGTAAAAAATTAAAAAATTATCTAAAAAACACTTTGTTTGGTTTCATTTTTCCCAAAGCACTTTTCAGAAAATTCTACTTTACTTTTTTTCATGTTTTTTTGTTTTTACTGAATTTTTTAAAATATTTTAAACAATTTTGTTTACTTTTTAGACATACCTAACATAAATATACCTAAAAATTAAAAAATTTGTGAAAAAAACCTTTTAAAAATTCGCTAAATACCAAAAATACAAAAAAAAATACTAGAATTCAGTACATTTTTTTTGTATTTTTATGTATTTATTAATTTTTTAAAATATTTTTTCACAATTTTTTTACTTTTTAGATACATCTAAGTAAGGTGCATTTAAAATAAAATATATTTAAAATTTTAAAAATATTCACTAAAAACAAAAAAATACGAAAATCATATAACTCAATTTTCAAAAAACTTAATCCAAAAAACTCAAACCAAACACACTATTTTTTATCTCATTTTTTTTAAGTTAAAAATCAAAAAAATCACTAAAAAAATTTGTTTCCAAACCACTCCTAAGCAACCCACAAAACTTTTATGTTGGTTTTAAACAAGTCCCCACGTGTGAATATTAGTAAAGATTGGAAAAAAAAACAAAACAAAACAAAAAAAACAAACAAACAAACAAAATAAAAGGTAAATTACAAATACATGCTTTGAGATTTTCTTAAAATACAGATTGTCCCTTATAGTTTTGAAAATTATAACCTTTTATCAGAATTTTTATTTAACAGAATTAACGAAAAAAGTAAAATTCATAATTGCTCTCTAATATAATAATAAAATTACCTAAATTATTAATTAAAACATTTTTTAATATCATTAAAAATTGTTGACTGACTTCATGATTTATTAATAAAAGGCAATTTGTTACGAAATTAGAAATCTTAAAGAGTGAAATATAATTTTCAAAACTACAAGAAATGATTTGTATTTTAATCAAATCTCAAGAAATATATTTGTAATTTACCCCAAAAAAATGACAATAATTGATCTAAGAAAAATATTTTTGACCACTAATTTAGCATCACTGTTACACCATTAATGAGGGGCACATGTGAACCCTACTAATGTGATTTTTTTTTTTTTTGAATAATGCTTGAGACCTCTTTTGGGGGTCACCCCTCACCCCTTGCCACGTGACGGGTGGTGATTGGAGGAGCAGGAAAAAAAAAGAAAAAGAAAAAGAAAATGTAACCAATGAGAGAGAGAGGGTCAAGGGGTGAAGAGAATAGGAAGATGAATCATTGTTGTTTTTTTTTTTTTGCACTGCCAGCTCTAAATGAGCTGTATCACTGATCTAATCAAACAGATTCGAGCATAGAAAAAAGACAACGAAGTTCGAGACATCGAAAGAGGAAATCGTGATTACATTCGGTGGTGATAAATGTTTGAGCAAGAATCAGTGAAAATTGAATAATAATAATAATAATAATAACTTTGAGATGGTACCTTCTTCTTGGGGGAGAAATTGAGAGACACATCTGAAGACAGTGAGCCAAACCAGAGACGCAAATACAAGAAGAAGAAGAAGACGACGAGGGAGCATCATCTTCTTTTTCCACTTCAAACTTGTTCCAGTTTCGGAAATTCACTCCATCGATTTTGCAACTCTCCTTCGGTTCGATTCCATCAAACAAAGTTGTGGACGTGGCGGAACGGCGTTATATACACAATACGGACTGTACTATACTACAGAGAGAGAGAGAGAGACAGAGAGAGAGAGTGGGGATTAAGGATGGAAAGTGACAATGGAGTATTGGCAAAAGTGAGAAGATGGAAAAAAAAAATTGGGGGAGAAGGGGGAAGGGAATTGTCGGTTGGTCGTTGTCAGCAAGAATTAAGATCTTCTCCGGTCACTCTCTACAATCCTCCCTCTTTACAACGGTCTAGATTCACTTAAGAGAAATTTAACGGTCCAGATCATTTTATTAAAAAATAAAAAATTAAATTTATTTTTTTAATAAAATGATTTGGACCATTCGATCTTCTGTAGAGTGATCTGGACCATTATAAGGAGGGTGGCCGGAGAGAGTGGTTGGATAGGATTTCAATTCCGTTAGCAAGGGTTAAAAGGCGGAAAATAAATGGTAAATCATGAAATTTAGGTTGATTATTCATCCTTTTCGAAGTATGAACATTCATAAAATTTTAATTGATAGAGGGAGATAGAAATTCACAATTTATGTTGGAAATAAAAAAATAACATTAGACTAAAATTAATTAGTGATTGACTTTGAGTATGAACATATAATATTTCAGAATTATTAAATAATTTTCCTCAAATTTATGCATTATTTCGGATTTTTGTCAAAATATGTCAATAGGAAAATGTTAACAAATGGCTCATTGATTGTAATTTTTTTTTTTGGTTGAAAATATATTAAAATAGTAAAAAATGTATTAATTTCAATAAAAATATATTGAATTTAATAAAAATTCTTTTATGTTCTTTATTTTTTTTATCTTCCACTTGTGTCCTAAGGACACTTGTTAACGAGACCCATGTTAATATTAATTTAACTGTTTCTTCTTCTTCTTCTTCTTCTTCTTCTTTTTCTTTTTTTTTTTTTCTTTTTTTTTGTATTGTGTTAATTTTGATCCAAGTTGTGCTAATGTATTTTATCCAAAATTTCCACTGTTAGTTAAAAAATATTAAATGTATAGTGAAATTCAAAATTTTACTCACAAATTAAATTTCATAAGATTATTTGATTTAAACTCAATTTTCTCCATTTTTCAAAAAAAATAAAATGCTTTCATTAATTGCTTAATAATTATTCTAAAAAAATCAATAATAAATATTTCTTCAAGAGGTGATATAAAATGGTGACATAAAAACTGGCAACATATGAAAATACGGTAGTACTACATACACCAATTAGTTTATCAACTAGTATACCAACATATGTTATGGCATTATTATTATCTCCACCCAATAAACAAATTATAAATACCTAAAATCTCTAAAATTATGTCATATCATCTGTTAGTACACTAATTAGTATACCAATTAGTGCATATAGAATTTCACAACAATAATCTTTCGATTAACATGTCTTATATGATTAATAACTATTATGTATCACTTTTTTCATCATTTTATAACTACTGAATACAAGTTAAGATATTAATTATTTTTATTAATTACTTAAAAATAATTATCTCAAATAAGAGAATTAATCATAGCGACAACAAATCAATTACGTATAACAGTTCTCAATGATTTCAATGAATTTCATTATGACCAATGCATCAATGATTTTGTTTTCAAAGGGTGAATTAAAGTTGTTCGAAAAAGAAGAAAAAAAAAGAAAAAAAAAAGGTTGAATTAAAGTTGATGATGACTGCCAAATGCGACTACCCAGGACTTCAAAAGTGTTTCTTAATGGCAAAATAATTCAAAAATTAAAATTTTAGAACAAAATACAAAAACATTTCTGTAAGTTTGATGAAAAATATAATTTTTGTAGAAATTTTAAAATTAAAAATTACAATCAATTACAGACCATAAGACTAAATACGATAAAATAATAATTTGATATTAACATTTTCTGTGACAAATTAAAAAATATATATATATATATATATATTATATGTGAATCTTAGAAGAAAAAATTGATTTTACATTTGTGGACGATTAATACTTCAGGCCTCGAGAGCTTCAGATGCGAATTTGTGTTTACCGGTCGAAAGGCTGGACGACCACCCAAACGACGGGGTGAAGCACTTGTCTACCGCAATTGTCACCTTATCGACCCCGAATGTCAACTTTTTTGCTGGACGACCACCCAAATGACCGGCCGGACGAGACAAGTTCAAATTCGAGGTACGTAGCATTACTCTTTGTGGACCCAGAGGATAATAGCCTACCAGATTAGTCTTTTGTCTGTTTGCGTTTAGGTCCAAGAAGCATTAATCAAGTTTAAAGAGCTTGATGACTTTGTATTATGATTCCAATAATTTTCAACGTTTCATCTGGATATTATTTATGTGATATTTTTAATTAATAAAAAATTATAACTTATATTATAATAAATTAATATTTTGGAGATAAAAATTTATGAACAAAATAATTTAGATAGTAAAAGTGTCATGCATTTTTTGGGATGAAATTAAATTTTTAGGCCCTGTTTGATTGGGGGATATGAAGATTGGGATTGGATATTATATCCGGTAGGATCCATTTATCCCATGTTTGCAATTTTTTTTTGAAAGGGATATAATATCCGATGGGATTGTATATCCTCCAAAAGTGGAGGATATACAATACCACCCCCCATTATATCATATCCCCTTGGTTGGGATATGATGTAAAAAGTTCAATTTACCCTTTTGTCTATCTAAAATAATATAATTTAATATATTTTTTTGAATTTAATATAATATAATTATTGAATTTAATTTAATATTATTGAATTTAATTTAATATAATTTAATACAAATTTTGAATTTAATATAATATAATATAAAATTTTGAATTTAATATAATATAATTTAATACAAATTTTGAATTTAATATAATATAATATTATTGAATTTAATTTAATATAATATAATTTAATGAGGGCAATCTTGGAAATTACTTGTTATATTCCACAATATATTTTGTAAAACAAACATGCATAACATATATCCAATCTTATATATCAAGTCAACAAATATGACTTGGGGGATATACTATCCAGTACCTATATCCTATTCATTATATATCCTGACTAAATCCCACATCATATTATATCCTCCATTTTATATCCAGTGAAACAAACGGGGCCTTACTATCTTTCTAGAATCAAAATTTTCATCTCAAAAAATAAATTTTTTTTTACACAAAATTATGATGTTAGTAAAAGTACATTTAGTAGTGACATTTCTTAAATTTTGTTGCTAAAATCATACTTTATGACCGTTAGTGATGACTCTCGTCATGATAGGAATTAATCTCCTAATATTTTTTCCTAATACTTTTTACAACAAAATATTTATTTTCAGTAATAAAAATTCAGGGGTAAATTACACTCACCTCCCTAAGGTTTCTGACAAACACAGGAACATCCTCTGTGATTTGAATAATTATACAAACTTTCCTTACTTTAACTGACATTGTCAAGATTCTCTCATTCCATCAAATTGGCACAAACGACGTTACTTACATATACTAAATGACCTTATTACCCTTGCTTTGGAGCACGGAAAGATGATAATACCCTTTGTACCCTAAATCCCTAATTCACTACCTATTCTAATTTCGATCAAATTTGTGGGAGAGAGAGAGAGAATTTTTTAAGAAGACCGATCGGTGTCAACAAAGGACAAAGAAGCTTGAGATTTTGGTTCGATCATCGTTGCTAGTGCAAATGTGAAAGTGATTGATCGATGAGAAGTTTTTAGGGCTTCCAGGTAAGATTTCAAACCTTTTATACTTCATTCCCGTTTGTTTTCTGGAATAATAGCCTAGTTCTTTTATACTTCGTCCCCGTTTGTTTTCTGGAGTGCAGTCCAGTTCTTTTATACTTCGTCCCCGTTTGTTTTCTTGAGTAGTAGTCCACTCCGAATTGTTAGTGATGAACAGTGAGCCTAGCTCATGTTTGTTTTGGTTTTGGAACTCTAGATTTGTAGTCTCTTTTAGATTTGTAATCCCTTTTGGATTTTATAGCGATCCCGGTTTTTCCTTCCTTTATATACTGTATTCTGGACTTAGTTCCGTGGACTTGTTTTTGTATCATTATCACTTCTAGCCTTTCCTCTTTGTATTTGAATCTTGGGTTGTGATGGGCAGGTTTGAAACAGGTTGGTTGCACTTTGAAACCAAAAGGTGATGTCCAGATTTTGGCTCCCTTTTGGATTTTATAGCGATCCCGATTTTTCCTTCCTTTGTATACTGTATTCTGGACTTAGTTCTGTGGACTTGTTTTTGTATCATTATCACTTCTAGCCTTTCCTCTTTGTATTTGAATCTTGGGTTGTGATGGGCAGATTTGAAACAGGTTGGTTGCACTTTGAAACCGAAAGGTGATGTCCAGATTTTGGCCTTCACGCTCGAGCGGAAGTTTTAACGCTTGAGCGGGCTCTTCGTTGTTGCTTATCCGCTCGAGCGGGAGTTTTGACGCTCGAGCGTGTTTTTCCATCTCCCAGTACTTTACTCTGCAGTCCCTCCGCTCGAGCGGAGAGTTTGGCGCTTGAGCGGGTACCATCGCCTGCAAAACTTCTGGAAGTGTGCAATCGACGCTCGAGCGGCTCTTTTCACGCTCAAGCGTGAGTCTGTGTCTAACGCTCGAGCGGGTATTTTCACGCTCGAGCGGGGAGTCGACTACATCAGTCCGAGATTTCACTTTTTGGATCACTTTTTGACCTACTTTTCTTTCTTAACTTTTAGAAAACCGCCCCTTGAGAGTCTCTCTCTCTTTCTCTCTCTCTAAACCTGCCTTCTCTCTAAAAATTGATCTACCTAGGGTGAGTATCTAACCTTGGTCCTTTATTAAAAAGATAGAGTGAGTCAAGGGCTTTCATTCAATCTGAACGTTTGGTGGGTTGGAGCACTTTGGAATTTGGGTATTCATCTTCGTCTTCTCCATTCGGGTTATTTTCTTCGAGGTAGGGATTTCCTACTCCATCCTATAAGTTTTGTTCTAAGTTTTGGTATTTTGATATGTTGGGAGTACTTTGGTAATTTTGGGAAAAACCCTAGTTGTATTAATAAATTAATTTGTATAATTAATTTAAGGAAATTGGGGAATTTGGTTAAATTCATGAAATTGAGGAATTCATTGATTAAATGGTGTAGTTGGATAATTTAAATCACTCGCCTATTGAATTGTTGATATATTTATTTCCAGTCTAGAAAT